CCACCCCTCCCTCTACCCACCCATCCGTCCTCCTTCCATATTTAATGGCAGCATCACCAGGACGTGGAGATGGGAGGTAAACCTCTCAACCAGACCCAGCTGTGCAGCTTGGCGAGAGCTTCTGTCTGAAGATCTGGGAAGCCAGCAGGAAAGACACCAAGGAGTGGACATTCCAGCTGGGTCCTAACGGCCCAGTAGGATCTCGCCCACTGGAGAAGTCATTTACTTACTCATACGTGGCATCTCCCTGAGTTCTTGCTGTGTGCCAGGCACTGTGCCAGTTGTAGGGCCATGGAGGTAAACAAGACTGGCCATCCCTGCCTGCAGGCGGTGCGTGGACTAGTGGGAAGGCAGGCATACATACCAACCAGTGAGGGCTTGGGGAGGTGGAGGGTGCTGCAGAGGATGGGGAAGGAGGAAGCAGCCTGTGCAGAGGTGGAGGGTATATAGGGGTTGGCTTATTCCCGGGGGGCAGGTGGTCCAGTGTGGGTCCCCAGGACAGGGAGAGAGAAAGCTGTGTCTGGAGGAAACAATGCCCCGAGGTTCTGGCTCCCACACTGACTGACTAGAGTTCACATGTGACCCATCTTCTCTGGGCCTCAGTTTCCCATTGTGTATCGTGGGAGAGGAGGATCGTTTCTGAGTACAAATGGGATAGAGAGCCCTGCTTCCATTTTTATTGCTCAGGTTGATAATTGAATGCCCTGTCTTGTGGGTCTCCCAGTGGGTGCATTTATCTCATTAGTGAAATGCCAGCCAAGACTTTTCCTGGGGCAGTGGCCAGTGAGTAGAGGCTGCTTAGGGTAAGGAGCAAGCCTGGACTGTAGGATCTCACAGGCCTGCATTCACGTCCAGCTCCACCTAAGCTCTGCTGTGGGGCTCCCAGTACATCTCTAAAATGGGGAAGGTGATGCCTTGCAGAATTGCTGGGACCATGCAAAGTTCCTGGAATGGCCCTCCAACGGTAGCTTCACAACTGTTCCTTATATCCTTGTTCCAAACGATTTGAGGCGGACTGTTCTTATTAACAAGTCTTCCCTTTTGTGCAAGGGTTGGTGCCTATGAGAGCTCTGCCGGTCTGTTAGATCCTAGACTTACAGATCGCTCAGCTGAGGGGGACCCGGGTGATCTAATGGGGCCCGTGAAATCCCGTCACTGAGAAAATGACTGACTTTGCTACTCTAGTGAAATTATCATATCAGTCAACAGCTCATCTCCCGTGCCTCTGACAACAGAGCAAGGGAGGAGTGGGGGTGTTGAAACGGCTCCCGGGACACGCGGAGGACGTGCCTTGCGTGCGAGGAGGCCTCGCCTTAGATACTGATAAGAGTGGTAATAACCACAGTGCTCTGGGCGCCTTTGCTCATTTAATCTCTCTCTGCATAGCTGCCTTTGTTTGCCTCCTTTTGCAGGTGAGGGGTCTGAGGCTCAAGGAATTTAAGTAATTTGCCTAGGAAGCTTCAGGTGCTAAATTCAGACCCAGGACTGAGGTCTGTCTGCCACTAAAGACAGACTCTTCACCACCAGGCTACTCCACCTCCAAGAGAAAAACTTTGGAGACAAACAGACCAGAGTTCAACTCTGCTTTCCCTTCTTACTGGCTGTGTAACAGCAGGCAAGTGTCTTAACCTTTCTGTGCCTTGGTGTCTCAGGGAAGGTATAATACAATCAGATGGGAACTGAGTGTCATTCATTTAACATTTATTGAACACCTATTATGTGCCAGTACTCGGTTTCGGGTGGGCAATGGGTAGATTGTGGTAAACGAGGCAGATACTACACCCATCCTGCCCCCCATTCTACTGGCAGGAGCAGGAGGGAATGAACAGTAAATAAGACGGATGTGTCAGATGGTGTTTGTGCTCTGGAGAGAATAACAGAGAAGGGGATAGAAAGTGCTGGGGAGGGGGCTTGTGATGTTAAATAGGGTGGTCGGGAGGCCTCACTGAGGAGGTGGCATTGGAGTGAAGACCTGAAGGAGGAGCAGACATAGGGAGTAGAACATTCTGGATAGTGGGAACAGCAGGTGCAAAGTGCAGAGGCAGGAGTGCAGCTGCAGCAGAGGGAGTGGGGCGTGGGAGACCCAGATCATGGAGGGCCTCGGGCTTTCACTCTGGCATGGAGAGTCATTAGAGGGTTTTGAGCACAAGAGCGACACCATCTGTCTTATGTTTTCAAGCAATCACTTTTGCTGCTAAATCAAGAGTAAAGCATGGAGGGTGGGGGTAGAAGTGTGGTGGCCAGGAGGCCAGATGCAGGTGACTGGGGCCAGGGCGGACATGGTGGGCGTGGCCATGGGGAGCTCTGATGTCCTGGAGCCATGGGGGTTGCACATGATGGAATGGGGAGAGAGAGAGAGGAGGCGAGC